TTTTTTTTGTAAATTATATCTCAATAAATCTGATTTTTAAAATCTCTGTATGGACACGTGATTTCATTTCTCTTGGATAAACAGCTAGGAGTTGAATGAGTGGGTTGTATGGTAGGTGTATGTGTGCTCAATAACAAACTCCCAAATGTTTACCTTAGTGGCTGTATCGTTTTGCATTTTCACCAGCAATGTATGCGAGTTCCATTTGTTCTATATCCTGGCCAGCACTTGATACTGTCCTTTCTTTTTTTTTTTTGGCCATTAAAATAAGTGTGTAATATTATTTCAATGTCATTTTAATTTACATTTTCCTAAAGACTAATGACTAATGACCAATAAGACTAACCATATCTTTTCATGTGATTACTTGATATATGAATATCCCCTCTGCTGAAGAATGTTTAAATCTTTTACCCTTTTCAAAAATATGGTATATGCCTTATTATTGAATTGTAAGAATTCTTTATATAATAGAGATACTAGTACTTTGTCAAGTATAAATTTTGCAATATTTTCCCACAATCTGTGGCTTGCCTTTTCATTTTCATATTTGTCTTCTGAAGAGTGCGAGTTTTTAATTTTAATGAAATATAATTCATCACATTTTCTTTTATCTTTTTTTTTGCTGAGGAATATGCGCCCTTAGCTAAAATCTGTGTCAATCTTCCTCTATTTTTTAGTATGTGGGCTGCCAGTACAGCATGGCCGCTAAGAGAGCAGTGCAGGTCAGCACCTGGGAATTGAACTTGGGCCACCAAAGTGGAGCATGCTGAACTGAACCACTAGGCCACCAGGGCTAGTCCTTTATCTTTTTTTACGATTCATACTATTTGTGAAAGATGATCGTGTCGACTGAATAAAAAGTTTTATTTCTTCCTTTCAAATCCACGTATTATTTATTTCTCTTTCTTGCCTTATCACGTTGGCTAGGACCTACAGTACAATGCTGAATAAAAGTAGTACAAATGGACCTCTCTACCTTATTTCCAGTCAGAAAAGCATTCTATATTTCACCATTAAATATGATGTTAGTTGTAGATTTTCTGTAGATATCCTTCATCAGATTGAAGAAATTCTAGTTCAGTGAGAGTTTTTATTATTAATGGATGTTCAATTTTGTCATATGCTTATTCTGCATCTACTTAAGAGAATCATAGTGTTTTTTAGTCTGTTAATACAGTGAACACAGTATAAGAATAATATAATTCACTGTATTGATTAATTTTCTAACATTAAACCAATCTTGCATTCTTAGGATAAATCCCACTTGGTTATGATGTATTATGCTCTTTATGCATTGCTGGATTTGATTTACTAAAATTTTGTTAAGGATTTTTGCATCTATGTCCATGAGGACTATTGGTCAGACCTTTTATTATACTGCCTTTGTCTGGCTTTTAGTTTCATGGAAATTTTGGCCTGATAAAATGAGGTAGGAAGTATTCCTTCCTCTTCAATTTTCTAGAAGAATTTGTGTAGAATTATTATTATTTCCTTCCTTCTGTGTTTCATAGAATTTACCAGTGAAGCCATTTGGACCTGGAGTTTCCTTCCTGGGAATGCAAATTCAATTTATTTAATAGATTCAGGGCTATTTAGCTTATCTATTTCTTTTTGAGTAAGGTTTAATAATTTGTGTCTTTCACTGAATTCATCCATTTCATTTATGTTCTCAAATTTATTAGCATGAAGTTATTTATAATATTCCCTTATTATTCTTTTAATATCAGCAGGATACCTAGTAAATTCCCCTCTTTTATTCCTGATATTGGTAATTTGTGTTTTCTCGCTTTTTATCCCGATCAGGCTTGCTAGAGGTTTATCAATTTTATTGATCTTTAGGTTTCACAGATTTCCTCTATTATTTTTCTGTCTTCAATTTCATTGATTTCTGCTCTTTAATACTACTACCTTCCTTCTGCTTACTTTGGGTGGAATTTGCTCTTCTTTTTCTAGTTTCTTAAGCTGAAAGCACAGATTAATTTAAAACTTCTTTTCTAATACAAGCATTGAAAGCTATTGATTTCCTTCTAAGCACTGCTTTAGCTGCATCCCACATTGATCTGAAGTATTTTCATTCAGTTCAATATATTCTTAATCTGTTTTTAGCTCATCCCATGTATTTTTCAATTCAGGTACGTTTGTCATCTAAGGCATTCCATTTGAGTCTTTTTTATATGGTCCATTTCTCACCTCAGCAGGACCTCACTTTATTCTTCCTTCTTGACATATGGAGCATATTTATAAATGTTGTTTTAACATTTTTGTCTACTAGTTTCATCATCTCAGTCATTCCTGGATCTGGCTCTATTAATTGATTTTTCTCCTTTCTATGGATCTTACTTTTCTGCTTCATTAATTACTTCATTTCTAGTAATTTCAATAGGATACTGGATACTGTTCATTTCATAGTCTTGGTTGCTAGATTTCGTTCTATCCTTAAAGTGTATTGTATTCTGTTCTGGAGGACATCAGGCTACTTGGAATCAACGGAATCATTTCAAGACTTGCTTTCAAATTTTATTAGGGAAGATTATCAAGAGAATGAGAAAACAAGCCACAGACTGGAGAAATTATTTGCAAAGACATATCTGATAAAGGACTGTCACCCAAAAATATACAAAGAACTTTTAACACTCAATAAGAAAATGAACAACCCAATTAAACAATGGGCAAAAGATCTGAACAGACACTTCATCAAAGAAAATACACAGATGGCAAATAAGCAGATGAAAAAATGCTCAATATCATGTCATCAAAAAAACGCACATTAAAACAACGAGATACCACTATACACCTGTTAGAATGGCAAAAATCCAAAACACTAACACCACCATATGCTGGTGAGGATATGGAGCAAACAAGAACTCTCACTCATTGCTGGTGGGAATGCAAAATGGTATAGACACTTAGAAAGACAATTTCTCATAAAACTAAAGATAGCTTATGATCCAACAATCGCACTCATTAGTATTTATCCAAATAAGCTGAAAAATTCTGTCCACACAAAAACCTACACATGAACGTTTATAGCAGCTTTTTTCATAATTGCCAAAAGAAGCAACCAAGGTGTCCTTCAATAAGTGAATTGATAAATGAATGATGTCCTGTAGAATATCCAGAAAATGGAATATTATTCAGGCCTAAAAAGAATGTGCTATCAAGCCATGAAAAGATATACAGGAACTTTGAACGCATATTACTAAGTCAAAGAAGATAATCTGCAAAGGCTACGTACTGTATGATTACAATTATATGACATTCTGGAAAAAACAAAACTATGAAGATAGTAAAAAGATCAGTGGTTGTCAGAGGTGAGGAAGGAAAGAGGGATGAACAGGTAGAGCACAGAGGATTTTTAGGGCAGTGAAACTACTCTCTCTGATACTATAATGGTACATACATGTCATTATATACTTGTCAAAACCCACAGAATATGAAACACCAAGAGTGAACCCTAACATAAACTACAGACTTTGTGATAACGACACGTCAATGGAGGTTCATGGATCGTAACAAACGTTCCACTCTGGCAGGGGATGTTGATAGTGGGATAGACTGTGCATGTGTGGGGTCAGGGGAAACACAGGAAATCAGTATTTTCCACTCAATTTTGCTATGAACCTAAAACTGCTCTAAAAATGAAGTCTGTTTTTAAAAAATCTTTTTATTAGGAAAAATTAGAGCAGCCATTAGTCTAGAGGAAGGGTCAGCAAATAGCCCAAGGGCCAAATCCAACCTATAATCTATTTCTGTATGGCCCTCTAGCTAAGAACGGTTTTTATATTTTTATAAAGGATTGTAAACAAAGAAAGAAGAATATTTGACAGAGATCATATGTAGCCTGCAAAGCCTAAATATTTATTATCTGGCCCTAATGTAATTTAGCCCAGCTCCTAAAGCAGCAATACCTTTCTGAAGATTCTGCCTGATTAATGTCCCATATAGTATGAGGTTTTTTCTACTATGGCTGGTGGTGAAGTGAAGCTGTTCCTTGCCCTGTGTGAGCTCCAGAAATTTTTCTGCGGCTAACCCTTTCAAGTAGTTCCTTCCCTAGTCTCAGGCAATTTTCTCTCGTTCATGTGCAGATTACTAGACAGCCAAAGGTTACCAGGATCTTTCTGCAGATCTTCAGAGCTCTCTTCTCTCTGTGGTTCCCTCCTTTCTGGTAAGCTGTCCCACAGATTCTAGATACCTTGGCCTCCCACACCTTTGATTTCTGTTTTACCTACTCAGTGATACCACCAGTTTATTTTGGGGTTCCCTCACCCTTTGTCTTTACACTGCCTACAGGCAGTAAGCTGCTGGAACTGGAGAACTCATAATCTTATTTTTCTCTCTCTCTCAGGAATCACAGTCCTGTGCTATTTTTTTCCAGTATCTGAAAAACCATTGTTTTATACATTTTATCTGTTTTTCTAGTTTTTTTAGGTGTTTGTGTGTGTGTGTGAAGACTATCGTCCCTGAGCTAATATCTGTGCCAAGCTTCCTCTATTTTGTATGTGGGACACTGCCACAGTATGGCTTCATGAGTAGTATGTAGATCCACGCCCCGGATCTGAACCCGCGAACCCTGGGCCACCAAAGCGGAATGTGAGAACTTAACCAATATGCCACCAGGCTGGCCCCAGAAGTACTGAAATTCTTCACAAAAGTATTATCATTGAGTGGCCTGAGGACAGGATGGAAAGTCAGGAATGTTTCCATTTTAATCCCATTTTCTTCTCACAGAGATGCTTTGAGAACAACTAATTAATATTTGTAAGGTGCTTAGTGATAAGCTCAAAGTAGAATGTTAGTCACAAATCAAAACAGCAGGCACATAGAGTTATAAAAAAAGGTCACTAAGAAAACACTCAATTAAAATTCAGTCTCAAGTAATATTAACAAGAAAAGTTTGTATCAAACATTAATAAAAAAATTTTACGTTAAAAAACTACTTAAGGTGAAAAACTGCAACCCCAGTTCTTTACAAATAAAGAAAACATCACAAAACTTACGATATTTACTGTGAATTTCATCGATTTCCTTTTCTGTTTGGCCCTTCGTAAAAATCATTATCTAAAATAATTCAAAAATTCTTAATTAAAAATTTTTAAAAATGACAAAATTAGTACTACAAACTTTAAAATCTCAATTGTGGATGTTTAAAATAGAGGAAAATTATCTCTCATCTCTGTTTTATACAGACCTAGGAAGAATAACTCCTGTGTATGTGCCTTGAAAATCATAATTAGTATATATTTTACTCATTACTTTTTTCTCATCAGTAGAAAGAAAATGCTACACTGATCCCATTAGAATATATGAAGTATTAACACAACAATCAACTTTCCCATTTTCAATATTTAATTTCTCACATTAATTAATACAACAGGTAACACCTGAAACTGCAAGACTGAAGAGACGTTTAGCAGATCATTAATAAGGGAGATCTTCTTGCTGGTCTTCTATCTTTTCCAACTTAATTTCTCCAAGGCTACTAGAAAGGTAATTATATAGAGAAAATGCAATAACACAACACTTAGTGTGCTAAATTTCTAGTTCCACTTTTTAAAATCTTTGACTTAAAAGATCAGAAATCTATTTAGATGATTCATTACAGTCTCCATCTTATAGTTAGCACACATGTACTAAAAAAACCAATGAAAATGTCATTTTTTCTACCATCTGATTATAAACTTACTTCCCTAAGGTCGTTGCTTTCCTTACAAACACATTACCGATGGTCTAGGAAAAAAAAGTCTACTTGGGAGAGCCCAAAACACTTCCTCCAGTGTCATATGACACAATGACTATTTTCTTCTTTGGTATCCTTTCCTCAAGTTTTGAACCATCAAGCTAGAAGGAGGCAATAGTGAAGAATTTTAGGTCTCTGGTTCCCTCAATAAGCCCAATAGATAATCAATCCTCATAAACTCTTACAAATACTTAATTTCTCCAGCAGTACAATCACAGAATTGCAGAATGCCAAAGCTAAAAGGGGGTCTTAGAGATCATATAGTTCAACCCTGAGTTTTACAAAGAGCCTAAGGGCCACAGAAGTTAAATAGCTTATCAAACACACAACCAGCAGAGAAAGGACCAGTACCAAGGCCACCTGATAGGCACATGCTTCTTCCACTGTAACTCACTAATAAACTCAACTTGGGATTGCATTTTGTGCTAGAAGACTGCTAAATATGATAGATTTTTGTGCTAAAAATGAGCTGCAAGTAAATCATAACATGTGAAATGGGAATATCTTCCAGTACATTTCTCATTGAACAGATTTAATACTGGCTTGCTTTAATTTCAGTAGGGTATTCAACTTTTCTGTCCTTCATTTCTACCCAGATACTGAAATAGACCATCAACATACGCTTTCGTTGAGTTTACTAGCTTCAAGATGCATCCTAGTCTTCTCCATATTTTCAATTTCTTGAACTATTTCAGCAGCTGTTAAAATAAAGACATATAGCCATTGTTAATTACATAGTTTTGCACATTGTCCTATGGTTATGTAAGCTGTTAACACTAAAGCTGGGCGATGGGTATACATGAACTCCCTGTCCTATTTCTATAATTCTTTCGTAAGTCTAAAGTTATTTCAACATAAAAGGTTAAAAAAATAAGAATACAGAGTTAAAACATTCAACTTTCACACATGCAAACACAGCTTAAAATAGAACCAGGAGAGTTTAGTAAAGTCAATTTGCTTTTTGCTTTGAGTATATAGGTATAAACAGTGGTCCCAATGGAATATGAAAATTAATTTGTTAGCGTGAATTCAGTTCTTAAGGAATATCCACTCAAACTCCAATATACTAAACGTCGTACAACAGGCTACTTTTCAAGGAGAGACAGGGTCTATGAATACCAGGAGGAAAATGGCCTTGTCTCCAGAACTTTTGTCAGTAGGTGTAGTTACCAATTGTATATATCAAGGAGATCTGGAATACACTGGGTCACATATACAAATACCTTTGAATGCAAATAGCATGGAATTGGCAAACACTATCTTTCTGCCCCAAAAGTCAACATATTAAAACTAAAATACACGTGGTATAGAATAAAAATCTACAATCCTTTACACACGGTTATACGCAAAAGGACACTATGTCTGGAATTTGCTTCAAAATAATCAGTGGGGGGAGGGGCTGTCAATGACAGATGACACAACATGAGGCATGGGTTGATAATTGTTTAAACTGGATAACATCTATATGGGGTAACTCTATACTCTTCACTCTACTTTTATATAAATTTGAAATAATCTCTATTAAGAAGTTTTTTTACAAAACCCACAGTCCTCAAGAGGATCATTTAAGAATGTAATTATCTCAATTTAAATTTTATGTTTTTTGAGCACTGAAAGGTAACTTTTGCCTCCCTAATATTATAAAACTTGTAGAAACAATGTAAACAATATCTAGCTCTGTGAGCATGAACAGCTAGCATAAACTTACTGAATCACTGTCTAACAGGAAAGCAAAGGGACCACTCGCATTCTACCCACTCCATTAACACAAGTATTATTCAAGATAGAGAACATCTGCCACACTCTCTTCTAAGCTATTAAAGAAACTATATTAGGATTGGATACAATTTAGGGGCTTAAATCTTTCAGGGAAACTTCTGATTCTGTTTAACACATAGAGAGCTGGATATAGTGTCACTCCCATCCTAACAAGAAAAGGCTCAATAATCTATAAAACTGTAACTTTTCTTGAATCCATCAGAGCTAAGGTCACAGACGAACCAACTAGCCTGAAATCTAAGGAAAAATCTCAACTAGCCTTAGAGAAGAGAGGGGTCACGAGCACTAGCTGACATAAGGCAGTGCACAGGAGAAAGACCAGGACCACCCTACCCCTGGGTAAGAACATTTCAGCTAAACTTTTTGATGAAGCACAAAAGGCCAAGGGTAAACCACCATGAAAGTATAAACATCCTGATAAGCTTAGACACAAGGGGAGTCACACCTATTCCAAGGCTATTTTCTATAGACCTCACTAGGCACTCACAAGAACTACTGGGGGAAGGGTAGGAAACTAGAAAAACTATCCCTCCAGATCCTGGCCTGGGAAAGGAGAACAGCCTCCATTGCAGTAAAGACATGAAGCCTAACTAGATCTTTAACTCTTAAGAAACAAAAGCATTAAGCCACTGAGGGGAGGTCAGCAAAACTGTAGTCCTCAGAGCACAGGTAAATTACCCACTGTTGCTGGGGGGAAACAAACCAACAAACAAACAAATAAAATCCTGCAGGAGGGTCAGGAAACCACCCTGGGCCCAGACCACTAGCGGACCCCTCCCACTTGGGGAGGGACAGGATCACTGAGAGCGCCCCAGCCCTGAGACCCAGGATCAAAGAGCCTGCTTAAGACTGAGTCAAGCTAGAATAACAGAGAGCCACCCCATGCTCCCTATCATGGAGCTGGCATGCTCCAAGCAACAAGTAACAGCAATCTACCACTGTGAGAGAAGTAAGCATGAAGAGAGACTCCTGGAGATATAGGTTCACAGGGAAAACCTAAGTGTCAGTGATACAGGTACATTAAAAAAAAAAAACTTTTGGCAACTCAGCCACCAACCTAAGCATAAGAGATATGAAATTGGTGGTAAACTGAGGACAACGACAGTAACAACAAAACCCAAATTGAGTCAACCTCACACAATAAAAATCTAGCAGAAGAGGACATATCCGTTTCTTAGGCACAAATACTATTTACTTCAGTGTTTAGATTGTCACATATAAAGTCTGGCTTTCAACCAAAATTTACAAGATATATGACCAAGCAAGCAAACAACAATAACAAAACCCAACTCAAATATCACCCACATGTTAAAACTATCAGATATGGAGTTTAAAATAACTATGATTAATACACTAAAATATCTAGTGAAAAAGATGAACAACATGTATGAATAGATGGGGCATATTAGGAGAGAGGTGAAACCATCAAGAAGAATAAAATAGAAATGTTAGACATAAAAAAACACATTAACAGAGATAACATGACCCAACTTAGAAAAGAATCCATGAACTTGAAATGGGATTGATAGTATTACCCAAACTGAAAGGGAGAGGGGAAAAAAAAAAAAAACAGAACACAGCATCTAAGAGCTGTGGCACAATATCAAGAGGTCTAACACACATGCAACAGAAATCCTAGAGGAAGAAGAAAAAAGAGAGAAGTAATATTTGAAACCTAATGGCCAGAATTTGCCAAATATAATGAAAGACATCAAACCACAAATGCAAGAAGCTCAAAAGATATCAAAACAAAACAAAAATACAATGACTTACACACACATAGACACACAGAGAAGATTCTCAAGCCAGATAAAAAGAGTATATTACACAAAGAAAAATCAAGCATCACATCACAGCATGCTTCTTATAAGAAACTATTCAAGCCAGAAGAAAATGAAGTGATGAATTAAAGTGTGTGTGTGTGGGGGGGAATCCTGCCAATCCAGAATTCTATACCAATGGAAATTTTTTTCAAAGTGAAAGAGAAATAAAGATTTTCTGAGACAAACAAAAACTAAGAGAATGTATTATTAGCAGTCCTGTACTAAAAAAATGTTAAAGGGAGTTCTTCAAGCAGAAGAAATATAAAAGCAGATACTCATTTCTCTAAGAAGAAATGAAGAGTGCTAGGAATGGTAAAAATGAAGGTAAATATAAAATATATTTTTCTTATTTTTAACTACTCTAAAAGATAGTTGTCTCTTTAAAGGAAAAACAATAACAATGTATTGTGTTATCACCATATGTAAAAGTGTAAAATTCATAACAACAATAGCACAAAGAATTAGAGATGGGGCGTAAACTGTTATAAGGTTCTTACACTATAAGTGAAGTAGTATATTATTTCAAGGTAGACTGACTGACTAAAGGTGCATATTATAAACCCTAGGGCAACCACTAAAATTTTTTGAAAAAGAGGTAAAAAAATAAGCCAATAGTAGAAATAAAATATAATAATAATAAATAATTAATCCAAAAGAGAGTAAAAAAAGGATAAGAGGAGCAAAAATCAGATGAAACAAACAGGAAACAACTAGCAAGATGTTAAGTTTAAAGCCAAGTGTATCAATAATTACATTAAATGTAAATAGCCTAGAAGCACCAACAAGAGACAGAGAATGCAGACTGGCTAAAAACACAAGACCAAACTAAACGATTTCAACAAAGAACCAATTTTACATAAAAGAGATGAGTTCAAAATAAAGTATGGAAAGAGACTTATCATGTAAATACTAATGAAAAGAAACCTAGAATAGCTATATTAATATGAGCCACAAGAGACTTCAGAACAATAAATGTTACCAGGGATAAAGAGGAAATTATGTAAAGGGGTCAGTTCACCAAGAAGACATAACAATCCTAAATCCTAAATGCATTTGCACCTAAAAGAGAAATTAAAAACATATGAACAAGAACTTCTGATTCTGAACTACATGGACCAGACTCATTTCTCTTCTCATTTCTCATATTTTTCCCCACTAAGCGTAACTAAAATCCCTGGATATAATATAACAGACAATGATAAGAGAACTCTGAAAGGTGGGACTGGCTAATGACCAGAATTTGAGGAACAACACCATAGTGAGTTCCCTAGATTTTCTTTTTATCTTCTGTATATCCCAGACTGGGCTCTGGTGAAGCCCTGCCAACCCAGAACCACCAACAGGTACAGAAAAAAAAAAAAGCCCCAAGAAAAATCTATCCTCTCTAAGCAAAGGACTGTGAAAAGAGGAGATCAGAAACCTTTCTGACAATACGTGACCTACCCCAGCCAAACATTGCTGATGCTCTCAGCCCCTTGCAGTATCATCAGAGAACACGTGGGGAGTGTGGACTTCCACCCCACACACACCCAGCAGTAGCAGGAGGCCTGGGGCAGGCTTTCCTCTCCCGCCAACACAGTGTCAGTGGAGACCTAGTGAGGAGCCTAGACTTCTACCTCTCACCCTGCGGTAGCAGGTGGCACCCTCATCCTTTAACTAGTGATCAGAGGAAGGATCTCAAAGAGAAGAAAGCTGGAGAAAAGCATTCTTTAAATCTGCACAGGAAATCCTGGACTCCTGACCAATTCACATGTGAAACTGTCTGGAATGAATATGCCAGAAGGTTTGCGAACTGAACCACAGTGTGGAATACCAGGTTTACAGAGTGGCCCCCAAGTAGGAATTAAATGACACAGAAGAGAATAACCCTGCGAGGGCTCTGAAAACTAAATTGTCATTAGAACCACAGCCCACAGAAGCAGGCCAGATCTACACGCTAAACCTAAACAGGATGACTGCCTGCTAAAGTAGAATATTTAAACAAGAACTAGAATTTCATATTACACTCAAAATGTCCAGGATACAATAAAAACACTTGCGATAGTAAGAAACAGGAAAATCACAACTTGATTGAGAAAAGACAATCAACAGAAGCC